AACAAAGAGAAACGCCGCCCGTAAAAGCTTCTCCACCACATGCCAGCTTGAGTCGCCCGCCCGCCCGCCCGCCATCAGAGTGCATCGCTGGACACCCACGCTATGTTCATCTGTAAGGTTCAGGGGTCGTCAGCCTCTGAATGGCCCGTTACTCTTAGCCGCTTGTTTATTACGGTGGACTCGAGCTGTGGAGATTACTCTACTGTACCCTGCCCCTCGATATCGGCCGAAAATATGCTTGTCCTCTTCTTGCCTGGTGCTACTTCATCATCTCGTATACCAGTTACGTACCCAAAAGATAGCGACGATGGTACTCCGTCCCTGAAAACTGGATGCAAAGTGCTGCTTTCGTTCAGTGAGAAACCTCCCCGAGACAGAGTCTAACGCCGAGTTTCTGTGCCCCTGAGACGGATGTTAACGTGCAGCTGATGCTTTAGGTTAGACTTCTCACCCCAAGCTTGCAAGATCTGCACAAAGTAGCACACCCGAGATGTGCTGCAACGCAACGTGGAGCAAGGCAAGCGGCAAAGGGAGGAGAAAAAAACAAGCTTCAGCCGATTGATTCAGGCGTTTTCAACTGTCAATGGTGAAAACGAAACACGCGTTCTGTGGAAACCGGGTGCAATATTGTGGTTCCCTTGCCTGGAGCTGATATTCCAAGTATTGGCTATGGCGTCTGACGAACAAAGCCTGGTTAAGGAATTGAAAATCAACAGCCATTCGATTTTAAAAGTCTTGGCCATATCTAACCATATCACAACGTTAACCTAAATCCCAGAGTTTCGTCAACCAGACCGCTACAGCCATGTAACCAAATTCCAACTCCGTACTGATATCAATGGCCATCAAGTTTAAAGCTTGATGTCCTGGCGTCAAGCTGACACCAAAGTCCCCTTGGGCTTGCATCTCTTGACTCGACATCATTGGATCGCCAAGTTCAAGTTGTTGTTTTTTCAATTGACTTGCAGTAGCGTTTTGCCTCCTTACCTTACGCGTCTCAAACAACGGCGCCACTCTACCCGGTCAGCGTCAGCTGTAGGTGGAACTTCCCCTGACTACTATGAGCCTCAAACCGCTCAGCTCACTCCAGTTTTCCTCTAGATCCTTTGTGTCATTGTCGGGCGCTTCTTGTGCAGATTACGCGGCGGCAAAGTTGACACTTTGACGCTTGACCAGTGTCTAGATTGATCACAATGCACAGTATTCCAATTTGTTGGTTCATTGAGCTGGAACCCCAAGTACAGCATCACGAGTCTTTCGAGGTCGGATTATCGGCCGCCTGGCTTCTTCTCCACGTGTGCATGGATTCTCGGATACGTTCCTATCCCTGTTGCCCTGTATTCACATGAAAACATCAACATCTCAATGTTATTGACTTGGTTTCAGGCTGGATCCTTCTTGAGTAATGGCAATGCAAAAACATATCGTATTCTCAAACCTATTTACGTGAAATTTGTTTCCTGTTGAATGTTTACTCTCTAAGCTCACGCCTGACAGCCAAGCATGATCACCCCTGACACGAGCAATGTCCAAGCTCTCATCATCGTGCAAAAGCAGCCATTGTTCTGAGTTGCAAACAAGCTGAGGATAACAATATCCTCTGTTAGATCTTTCCCCCAAACCAAATTGGACAAATGTATCATTCCAATGGCAAGGACATGCACACTCTATGTTACAATCTACAATACAACATCTCATAATTCTCATTGGCCTCCGCCCTTCTCACGTTGGTGCCCGGCTCTCCTTAGTGGCCATGCAATTTCACCAAGATTCCAAAATAGATTCCATGGATCGATTCTCGCTGCACGCACCTCAATGACTTCATCACTAATTCAGAATGTCTAAACACAATTGGATAGCCTCACGATCTAGGAAGTCCCTTGTCAACTGACCCCATTAATGAAACAACCGCACGGCGCCATCAATGCCTCTCGGAATTTTAATCTCGACCCCGGCAGCACTATCTGCTCGGATCGTGTCGATCAGGGTAGACCTCAATTTGAATTCATATTGCAGCTTTTAGCCATACGTACTTGCATTTAGCTGTGATAGGTCACTAGCCGCGGGCCTCTCAGGGTTCGATATTTGACCATCAAAAAAACGGCAGATCTTCATTTAGATAAACATCGCGAAGATGCAAGTAGTATTCAGCGTCCGTGCTCCAGTTGAGACCGTATTGTTTCTATGTATTTCCAATATCTATTCCCATGTTTCATGGTTGCATACCCGAAAGATACCCGTGAGGCAACCCATGAATGAGTTTCGGTTTCAGCCTGGATCTCCAAATCCAGTTCCTTGCGAAGTCATATTGACTACTCTGTAGCCATGAGCCACTTCTCTGCTCTTTCAAGCGTCTTCTTCTCAATACTGTCCTCAGACGCGGTCTCCCAGAGTGTCTTTCGCAGGCTTCCAAACTCCTCTTCATCGGAGTCTGTCACTCCCCGAGCAGTCACAAGCCGAAGGAAGTACCACACAGATTCATTCCGCCACTTGAACGAGGCTGCGAGTTTCAATGTCTCGCGAAACACAGGCGATGTTTCGGCAGGTTGCTTGTCCAGCAGGAACAGAAGAAATTGCCAGCCAGATATGTCATTGTGATGTGCAAAGCACCACTTTTGCGTAGCGATGATCATACGTGATATCTTCTCCTGTGAGCTTGATGATGATAGGACAAAGGTATTAACCAGATATCTGGCGTGACACCAGGCGTAGTAGTTCCGCGGGTGTCTCTCTCCTGATATCATTATGGTTCTTGCGAGGTCATCCTCGACCGGAACCTCAATATTGCGAAGACGATATTGCTCCATCAGCCATCGGCGATGGTTCCATAGCGTTGGTGACTTCGTGTGTCGATGAAGCCGACTGGTCAGTAAACTATCAATCAGGTGTTTCTCGAGGTGTAGTCTGTCTTGCAGGTCTTCTTCTCTCCATTTGTCTTTGATAGTTCGTTTTCTCGTGTTGGCAGCTGTTAGATGCTCTGGGTCCATCAACAGAATAACTGCAGTTGACTTTGAGATATCTTCTAACGATATCCGCTGGTTATCGACCTGGAACTGTTTAAGAAGCTTCTGTGCCACTATGAAAGCCTGTACGAGGCGTAGCTTTGGTATGGCGACTGCATTCTCATCTCGCAAGACTGATGCCTGGGCATCTAAGAGGTGGCTTTTCCCTAACAACTCGATCTCTAGAAGCTCATTTGAAGGCTCAATAAGAACATCCGAGATCTCCAAAAATACCGAATGATGATCGCCATGTTTGAGAGATTCCTTGAGACTCTTGTCGAGTGCTCGTGACATTGGGACGATCGAGGAACGAAGGTGAGGGTTGGAAGTATAGGGTAAGCTTGAGTCAACCTTACCGACGTGGTGTGGAGGGGTTTGATGGAGCTCCATGCAGGTGTCGGGGTTATGACATGGCTTGACCACGTTTAACAAACCACCAAAACCAACATCACCATCAATTTCACGAGCTTGAACCAAACCCGGTACAGCACTGAATACAGAGTGTACACGTTTGAGGCCTGCTACTTGTTGCTTCTGATACACTTCGACCTCTAAGATGGCCTCCCTTATGCTCAGCATCTTCGTTGTCGAAGTTGTCGTCAACCTCGTCAATACCATTGGAGCCGCCGCAATCAACAACTTGGTATGCTACTCAGCCCAGACCGTGTCCTCTAGCTCAGATACTGACTAAGAAAGCTCTGGACAATAATCAACTTCCTCCCCGTATCGACAGCAAAGGCTGCAGGCGAGCAACGCAAGCTCCAGGCCGATTACCTCAAGGTCCGACGAGATCTGAACTCCACGAGTAGCCAGGATGAATTTGCCAAGTGGGCAAAGCTTCGCCGCCAGCACGACAAGCTCCTCGAACAGCTAGAGAAGACCAGTACGTCACATTCGGCCTAGAGATTGGGGGGAATCAGGAGAGAGCTGACAAATGACCACTGCAGAGAAAACCAACGAGGCAGCACGATCCAACTTTGACAAGATCCTTACCGTTCTCCGAGTCGTCGTTACACGCGCGCCGCAATACTTCCTGCCTTTCTGGTACGCCACCGAGCCCATGTTCTGGCTTCCTTACGGCTGGTTCCCTTACTGGGCGGAATGGATCCTATCCTTCCCTCGCGCTCCCATCGGAAGCGTGAGCATCGCTTCGTGGCAGTTGGCATGCACAGGAGTTATCGCGCTTTTCAGCGACTTGATCGTGGGTATCGCTGGTCTGCTCCTCAACGCGAAGCAGGCCGAGGAAGCACCCGTCCCAGCCCAGAAGGTCGCCGCGGAGGAGAAGAAGAAGTCATAAGCAAATGGCTATGATATATGGCTAGTCGCGCACATAGTAAAAATATGCATATTTACAAGCAAAGCTTGACTACGATTGGAGATGTATCTCTTAGATAAATTTGACGCAAAGTTCCTCATTGCCGAAGCTGAGACTTTGTAACACGACAGAGAATAACCCTTGGCAGGGTATTTGGGGCTTGATCTAGGCAACATATTGACTCTAGCGACCACAGAGAGATCGCCAAAGCTTCGAAAGTGCCAATGGTAACATAATGATACACGGATGCACGGGGGGAAGCGGGAGGCAGTGAATAACGGCGCAAGAGCCATATTATTGCGCTACTGAGCTATAGTGAGTATTGCGAGGGGTGTGATTGTGAACAAAAATGCGAAGAAGAGGAGTTGTTTGTGGTGAATGATTGAGGTGAAGAAAGAAAGAAATTTGTTAGAGAGAAGAAAAATCCGAGGTTTTACGTTGAAAAGAGAGGTCGGCCCCACCAAAAGTTTAAGCCCCCACATTGGCCGACACCTCAGACGCTGTCCCTCAGGCCTACGAGCAGTACTCTCAGGCTTGGCGCCACCTTTGCCTTATTGAAGCCGTTCCTGAACTGACGTCGTTTAACTATCAGCCTTGTCTCAAGCCTGCAACAAAACGTGTTCAACTTCAACACCTCAGAACCAACAAAGGACCACGACTATTTGCGTTTGATATTCGCCATAATGGCGATCTCGTGGGAATCGTAAGTATATCTTCCAGTATTCAACTTGTCCTTGTGACTTTATTCTTCTTGATAGCCACTTACACATCGTGGACAAACAACAACTAACCTCGACCAGTATCCGGTCCCTCCTTATCTTCTTTGGCCCTATACTATTACCAAAGGCCATATCATACTATCGATCGGTCAAGGCCTCTTCGCAAGCACGACATGCACCTATAGTTGCCGTACCGCCCAAAGTCCGCGTTGCGCTCGCCCTCCTGGCCTTCTTAGTCATTAGCTACATCCTCAAGACATTACCGCCGTTCGCACCCGAGAACCTGTTCCTTGCGACCCAAAGTCGTCTCCAGATCCCGGTCGATGTTCTATTCAACCGTGTTGCTGTTGGAAGACCCGATAATGTTCTCACGAAGCAAGACGAAGCGCTGAGGGGCAGATTTGTCAACCTCGAGAGCCGACTGCTATACTTGCAATTTGGTCCTGAAGTACTCGCGAACTGCCCGTTCTGCACTTCAGAAGAGCCAAAGACATTCTTCTATTATGCCCTCCCGCAACTCCTGTGGCCTCATATCGCAAACCTGTTCGCCGTCGCTTTCGTTACAAGTCCAACATTCACAGGGCGAGCTGGTTCCCAGTGGCGACCAAAGGCTACAATGGCTGCCATGACCATTGCCGCTCTCGATATTTACTTTGTCAACTCTTACAACTACCAAGCCAATGCACGTGCTCTGCGTCTATCGGAAGTCGACTTCTTTTACTGGACTGCTCGAGTCGCACGCCTTGTGACCCTCGCAGCTTTCGACGCAGCTCTAGGCTGGCTTCTATATCTGTCTGCTACGAACCGCGCCTTCGTCGAGCCTCCATCTCCCGTGGAGCGCATCGAGGCAACCTCACGTGCTCTTCTTATCATGAAGAGCAAGCTTAGTGCTCTCGGCATTGTCAAGAACACTGCGCTGCGCGATGAGGATCTTCGATCACGAAGCCATGCCTACTGGAGTCACGAAGTGCGTCTTATGGGCGAGGTCATGGAGGAAAGGGAGGTTGTGGAGGGAGTCAACGATGCATTGACTAATCGCATTGACGTGGCGACTATAACGAGGGACGCTGAAGGATATGCACAGAATGTATTGCACTCCTTGCGTGGAGAAACGGCAGAAGACGATAGTATCTAATCCGCCCTCCTGCGTATTATCCCAACCCTTCTTTATAAAGACCTATTCTTACATAGAGGTCGATGACCGTTAAAATTTGGCTTGAATAACCATGGAAACCATATCTCATCCTTTCTCTTGTAACAATCGAGCGTTATGGCTCTCCCTGCTGTCCCTGAAACATGCACCGCGTCCACTCCATACATGCATTTGGTGTAATTTCCACACCGTAATTTCAAAATTCAGCATTAACTCTTAGAATCCGGCCTTGTCGACTCTGGCCTCACTGGTCCCGTAGCAGCACTGCTAGTGCTACCCTTCCTACTTGGTGTTTCCAGAGCACCCTCCTGTGCGCTGCGCTCTAAGAAGTTTGCCCATAGCTCAGACAAAGACTCTTTGTCTTTGGCAGATGTTGACTCGTTGAAGAGATCGGTGTTGAGAGATGGTGAGCTTGGTGTACGTGTAAATGGTGACATGGGTAGGCGGAGAGAATTAGATGACGTGCCTGGGCGAGCGAGACCAGCCTGCTCTCGCTGCTCGTCGGTCCAGTTGAGATAGCCAGCCATGACTTGAAGGACCTGGAAACGCTTGGCGTCACCGCGGTCAAGTGTGAGGAAGTGCAGGAGATGGTTTGTGACGATTTGTCTAGTCATGGTTAGCATAAAGCTTCATATGAGTTGTCATATATCAGGCGTACCTGTCAACATTGTCTTCCGGCTTTGTCTTCTTGAGGTACCGCAGTGCCTTCGTCAAGTGGTCGTTCAACACAATCGCCTCATGCCTCAACTTTCCAATGAGAAGGTTCTTCTCCTTGACCTCCTTCTCATAAGGCGCTGTTCGCTCAAGCTCTTGTGAGAGTGTTTGCTTGGCTTCTTCAGCTTCCTTTGCACGGGCGTCGGCTTCTTGTACCTGTTTCTTGAGAGCCTGAACTTGCGCCTCGGTAGTCTCGACCATGTCGCGAAGCTCCTTCTTGCGAGCATCTTGGATTTCGCGGAGGGCGTTCTGTAGGTTTTCGATAAGAGTCATTTGGCTCTCTCGCTCTGAGGTGGCGCTCTCATAGTTTTGTCGTAGGACAGTAACTTGTTCCTCTAATTCCGAGACCTTATCAACCAGGCTCTCTTTGATGGATCGCTCTTCCATGGCGATAACTTCCCATTCGCCCATGGCGTTTGCGGTAGTCTCCATCTCCTCCTTAAGATGTTGGACATGTCGGACCAGTTCTTCCTTCTCCTTGCTCCAGTTTTGTGCTGATAGGTTGTTGCGACTTCGAAGAGTGTTGAGCTCCCTCGTCGCGTCTTGTAGCTCCTCTTTTAGCTTGGCGACATCGTCTCCAGACGATACAGCGTTGTTTTTTAGTTCCTCATTCTCTGCCTCGAGCTCTTCTATACGCTCTTTGCTTTCTTCGAGCTCTGCCTTGTCGCGCTTGAACCGGTCGCTCAGCGTCTGTTTGATCTTCTCAACTCGCCCAAGAAGGGTCTGGTATTCCTCCTCTGCATTCTCCTTGGCGGCATTGCTCTCCTCTAGATCGCTCTTGAGCTGTGTGACCTCATTGCTGTGTGTCTCCTGGATGTTCTCGAGCTGCTTCCGTAGCTGTTCGACCTCGGCCCGCAAGGCCTCTCGTTCCTGGCTCATGGCCTCTAGCTTGGCGGAGGTATCTGAATCGTCGGGCTTTTCCTTTTCGCCATCAACCGGAGGGGATGTGAGCCCGTTGCTCTGAGCCTTGGGCTCTACGGCATGCCCGTTACTGTAGACAGGGGGAGCTTCTTCGTTTACGACTTGGTCTGCATTGACTGCGTCTGCATCTGCGTTGACTGGAGTTTCCTGTGGAGTTGATACATGTCAGCGCGCGCGCGCAATTGTATGATATGGGAGGTGAGCATCATAACTACGTACGGGCTGAGTGGGTGTCTCGGGCTCGTCTTCGAGGGTCTCTTTATCTGAACCCTGCTGAGGGTCTGAACTACCACTAACAGGTTGCTCAGCAGCCTTGTTCTTGTTGGCGTTCTTCTTCTTCTTGTTGTTCTTCTTTTTTGACGACGACCCTGCACGAGTAGGAAGCGAGGCCCCATGGGTTAGGACACGTTCTCGAATCTCCATTTCCACGTCAATTGGCAGGGGTAGGGATTGCACGCACCTGAATTCGTCGCCTGGGTCGGGTTCGCTGCGACGGTAGAAGACATGGTGAGTTTTTTAGTCTGGATAGAGCATCCAGACCCAGATCTAGAGGTTCAATGAATGCCGTGCAGATAATCCTAGCGCCTGTGGGTGGATTATAGGTTGCTTTAAGAAGAGCAAACGGGAATTGGATGTTTGGTACGTGTCAGTAATTACTGACCCTCCCTCGTGTAAGGGTAGGTAGATGGTCAAATCGCATGTCAGCAGCCACCAGCTGACGTACCTTACCTGGTGGAATTTAGTGGACTTGGCCTGGAAGTGCCCTGGAGTTAGTTAGTTCCGAGACGTTTCAACGGCTGATCTTCCGGCGAGGTCGGCTCCGAATTGTCGGCCGGCTACTACTGTAGCATTATATCAGTTGCATGAGTATATGATTATGATCATAAAATGATTCTCTCATTGATTTTCAAAAACCAATGGCCGACTGTGTAATATATATTGCAGCTGCTGTTCACGTACCTTGCAGGATCTAGACTCGAGAATGGCCTCCAATCACTGACTGAGGATGGTTCACTACTGATATCCGTATAATGGAACGGCAACTCATAGCTCAGCTCTCTGATTCGGTGCATGGATCCCTTTCAAACACTGTCAATCCTGTGCTACAGTTATGAGGACAAAATGTTCTTTTCTGTTTCTGTCATAGTGAAACATCTTCCTTTGCACTGACTCACTTATCACCAGCTTCAGCCAGTACTAGGTGCCATAATGAATGACCCCTGCGATGTGTTTGATAAAGAAATAGAGCGTTTTGATACTCTGTGAGTTGAATATGGCCCATCAGTGACCTTCAATTAGTTGGTTACTCAGTAAGTGCCTACTAAGGTAGGTACTGATACAGCGTTCCGTGTAAGAGACGCAAACCTCAGCATTGGTGAATTGAACTCAAGGTCCATACAATCTATTCTCGTCGATGAGGGCTAAAACTAACCGAGATGAGAATTCAAAGCTGATTCACATATTCTTGCAGCAATTCATGTCAATTAACTCTGAGTAGGTACCCAAAAGCTGGACAAGATGCTCTGGTTGAATGGCCAGGTGAAATCGAGCTTAGTCATACTCGAGTGGATCCTCACGATGCTATTTTCTCATCTGTCTCGCGCGTTGAATCTCGTTTTTTCTTCTTTACATATTTTTACCCTTCGCAATCACATTTTTGAAAAAGACCATTGTTCTCCGTGGCTTTTTCGCGATTGAGCGCGAAGTAGACTATGACCGCCTTTCATAATCCCATGTCTTGCTCTTTTATTTCCTATGAGTGCTATGGGTTCGCTTATGTGCGTACATATACTGTCATTGAAAGTCTTTTTTGTAGAAAAGGAATAAGAAGCGCGTGACTGATGATCCAACTTGCATTCGTTTCATTATACATGGATCTTTTTGAAACTATGTCTATGCCGCTTTAAAACTCCGAACCCAATTGAATTTAACAATTCCGTACTCAAGCCTTTGCCTTTCGGCCCTTGCCAGCTCTTGTTGCCTTGCCCTTTGCGGCCTTGGCCTTGGCCTTGGGAGCTGGCTTCTCCTCGGTAACAACCTCAGTCTTCTCCTCGACAACTGTCTCGACAACCTCAGCGGGCTCCTCAACCTTGGGCTCCTCCTCCTTCTCAGCAGGCGCATCCTCAATGGCCTTGGTCTCGCTCTCTCCGTTCTCAATAGCAGCGGGGGCTGGCACGTCCTTGATCTCGGGGGCATCGAACTCGTAACCAAGCTCCTTAAGCTTGGCAGCCTTCTTTGCGCGCTTGGAGTTCTCCTTTGTAACCTTGTTCGCCCATGCAGACTCGGTCAAAGGCTTCTCAAGCTTGTGACCAGCCATCTTGTTCCAGGGAACCTTCTTGAATCGTCGGTTGGCACCCTTAAACAAATCATCGCGAACCTGCTCCTTGGGGATCATTCGGCACTTGAGGATGTGGCCGAACAGAAGGTAGTTGTCCATGGTCTTGCATACGATCTCGGCGGTGGAGGCCTCCTCGAACTTAACGAAAGCGTAGTGCTTGCTGGCACCGGTCTTCTTGTTTCGGGAAAGTCGTAGCGCAACGATGGGACCAAACTGCTCAAAGTACTGTCTCATCTCATGCTCGTAGAAACCGTGGGGAATGCGGCCGATGTAGATAACTCCGGTTTCCTCGTCAGAAGCCTTGGCGGCCTTCTGAACATCCTTGGAGACCTTGGGAATCTTGCCGACATCCTGTCCCTGCTTGAAGCTAGAGTCGCCCTCGGTGATATCCTCGTCGTCAGAGTCCAGCTCCTTCACGATCGCCTGAACTTCCTTGCCCTCCTCAGCCTCAGAATCGGAAGACTCATCGGGGATATCGAGTGTGGTGGTTTCCTCCTCGACGACCTTGACTTCCTCTGGCTTGCTCTTGGACTTTTGCGCCGGCTTGGTAGGGGCCTTTTTTGTGACAACAGTCTTCTTGACAGACTTTTGCTTCTTCAGCGACACAGGCGATGCATCCTCGGGGGCTGTAAAAGCAGTGTTAGCGACACAAGAAAAGCTACTCCGTGGGCATCACGTCTCTACCTTTTCGCTTGGGCTGGGCAGCTTTGGCAGCGCCGTTAGGCTTCTTGATGTCCGAAACGGCTAAAAAGCGTCAGCGCATGAAGATTCATGACTCCCGAATAACTTACACTTTCTCTTTCTCAATTCTGGGGCCATTGCGTCTGATTTGGTTGTCTTGTTGCTAGATGCTCAAAAGCTAGACTGCCGCAGAAAAAGATGCGTGGGCCATTGAAAAAATTGGGATTCTGCCATGTCTGCTCTGGGCGGTCAAGAATCGCGTGCACTATCAGTTTATCGTAGTGGGGGTTGGGTTCTTTCAGCGGCTTGGTCCACTAAAAAGTGTCTGTAGCTTCTGAAGCTTACAACCCAAGCAGCACTGTGACATACATAATAAGACTAATCGACATCAACCATCGCTGGACAACTCAATTATATTCGGGACAGAATATTATCGACTCATATTCGACACTTATGCTTCTTGTGAGCTTCGAATCAGGCAGACAACAACTCTTCGGCCTCAGCCATCTGAAACCGAGGCTTCTCAAACACAACCTAATAGTTTAATACCTACCTTACGTATTCAGAACTCTCCATCTTCGCAGTTCGACATTTGATTGCACAATATGTCAAAAAAGCAAGAGAAACTGACACAAGAGGAGATATGGGATGACTCTGCCCTGATTGACTCTTGGAACGAAGCCTTACAAGAGTACAAGGTAAGTAAGTTCTCTATCGTAGACGGTTACTGACAGACATTCTGCAGAAATATCACAGCATTCACGCTAAGGGCGGAAGTGTACGGGAGTTAGAGCCTCAGAATCGGTAAGTCGAACCTTGAAGAGGTGAGATTCACTCGGCTAACTCGTGAGCAAAGGGCCGAGGCGGAGGCTGAATCTGGATCCGAGCAACCCCAAGTTACAGAAACAGAAGAGATTGAGTTGGAATCGGGGGCAGCAGAACAAAACAAGGTGGGCTTGGCTATGTTGATCTGTGCCATGAGAATCTTGGCTTCATATGCTCAGACAACTAACATGGCAGCTTAGGAGATCCCATCGTCGCGCAATGAGTCCAAGGAGCCAATCGCGTCACAAGGGACTCCCTCATTTCCTATACAAACCGTCCTAGGTTCCGGTAAGTCGAGATCCTGGAATGGTATTTCCTGTCATATAGGACTAATCAAAACACACAGTCCAAGACGAAAGCCTCAAGAAACTCCTTATGTCATGGTACTATGCTGGGTACTACACAGGGTTGTATGAAGGGCAACAGCAAGCTCAGCAGAAGTAGTAGAATGGTTCGTAAGCGAAGAAACAATTTTACATCCTTGAAACACGGAAGAGCGGTAGTCATCCCCAATTTTGTCAGAGAAAGTCGTGGCATGCGCATGGGTTCCTCGGTCAGGCTGTTGCCGTTGATGCTACGATGCAAGATCGGCCGCCGATTCACGTGGAAATGTTCATGGATGGAAGAGAACGGATGGATTCAAGAGAGGTTCGTGGTGTTTCCGTCGAAACGAGAGGCCTCAAGACGCCAAGGCCAGAATTTAGAGACTTGCTGTAAGTTCATATCACGTCAAGATATAGCGACCGCAATTTGTGACCCAAGAGACTATACCAGCGCTAAGTACGGTGCAGGCAGGTCTCTTCCTCTGTGGATACAATACAATACTGCACAGAGTAACTATGGTTATCAGTTAAGCATCCATAGCAACGCCAATGATACACGCAAAGTGATTAAGGTAGGTCACATATTAGGTCTCAGGCCCTGCAAGGAGATAAACTTTTTGTCGTCCGAATTTTTGTGCCTGGAAGGGTCTCTGGCGGATGAGACTATAGCTATGTCGATGAAACCTCACCGTTGACGATCAATGGTGAAACGGCGTCGGTGCCGCTCAAACGGCGAGTATAAGCGTATGTATTTAATAGCTTGGCCCTTCTTGGCTTCAGTGGGCATCGGGTCGACGATATCATACTGTAATTGTGGTATAATAGGACCTGCAGGTGGCTGGGCCTTGGACTCTGAGCACTCACGGAGGAGCCAAGTCCCGTTCTTGGCTTTGTCTGACCTGTCTCTTTGACGTCTCACCACTAAGAAAAGCAGCCCCTGTCAACGTTGGTTGATACGACCCTATATAGACTTAATTAAGCACTTTTAGGCCTATACCGGCCGCTACGTAAGAAACCACCCCAATCGTTATGTGTCGCATATTATTCGCTTGGCACTAGGAACAGCGCAAAAGGGTAAAACTCCAAAACACCAAACGTGATCCGAGACGGACCTGTCACAGAGACCACCCCCGCATCAACAAGCGTTTCACTGGGAGACGAGACCCTCTAACTATGAGTTAGTGAGTCTGCATACTCTATAGTTGATGATCGGATCTAGACAGACCGAAGCGAGCAAAGCTAAGATTCGGCTTCTTCAGCGGCCGTGTTTCGAAAATGTGTTTGAGGGCTTGTCTTTTCCAGGGGGTTACAGGCGTTAAACAGTTTCGCTCGTGAGAAGCATGGCAAGGTATAATAAGGGCACAGTAGGACCACGATTGTCAACAAACATCCCATCCCATCCCCATATCTCCATCTCTTTTCCTGTGCTTCATTCTTTTTGCACTTGAGAATTCCTTTCTTTGAAGGCAGGCCCTCTTCATATATTACTACTACTTACTTAGTCTCTTAATCGCTAGATCGATCTCATCTCATCTCGACTCGACTCGACTCGAACATCTCGCAATCTTTTTTCCTTTTCTTACTCTAATACCCTCAAGTTTCAAACATCATGAAGGCTTCAACTAGTCTGGCCGTGGCCGCCGCCTTTGCGCCCTTGACCATGGCGCGTTTCCTCGACTTTGCTCAGCCTGAACGACGGGATCACCCTATGCCTGCCGAAGCTGTACCTGCTGAAGCCATGCCTGCTGGACAAGCTCTCCCTATAGAGCTTCTCAGTGGACATAACAAGATCGTTACGGGAGGTCACAAGATCTCAAAGACCGAGATCATCATCATCTGGGCGAACCCTGGAGCTGGCGCCGAGACAACCACCATCAACGAAAAGGTCACTGTTACTGAGACCGTCACCAAGGGAGGCGAGGTCGTTGCTACTCCTGCAGCTCCTCAACAGCACACCGTCACCGTTGGTGGCCCAGGAGGTCTCGTCTATCAGCCCGAGGAGCTTGACAATATCCCCATCGGCGACACTGTTGTCTTCGAGTTCCTGTCGCAGAACCACACCGTCTCTCAGTCTGGTTTCGACAAGCCTTGTGCTCTTCTCGAGGGTGGCATGGACTCTGGCTTCATGCCCAACCCTAACAACACCGTTTCTCCTCCTCCCCAGGTCGCTATGCAAGTCATGGTTGACACTCCTCTCTGTATGTTACAAGCCTAACCGTCTCCTGGTTCTTATACTGACCTTCCTAGGGTTCTACTGCAAGCAAGCCGGCCACTGTGGGAAGGGCATGGTCTTTTCCATCAACCCTACGGCTGAGAAGACTCAGGCCAAGTTCAAGGAGATGGCCATCCAACAGAATGGTGATGGCAAGGCTACTCCCATCACAGGTGGCGATGCTGCCCCTGCCCCTCCTGCGCCTCCTGCTGAGTCCAAGCCTGCTGAGGCTGCACCGCCTGCTCCCGCGGCTCCTGAAGCCACAGGAGTTGTTCCAGGAAAGGGTACCATCGGTGGCGATGGCAGCTGTGTATGCATGGTCTCCTGCTCAGCTGGAGGTTTCCCAGCTCAGGCCCAAGGCATTAACTCATTTGGCGGCATGGGTGGTAAGTCATTTTTAGCTCTTCAGTCAAATGCCAAATACTAACGGTCCCTTAGGTTCCATGCCTTACAAGTTGGATAGCGTGGTTTAAGTTGAGCAATGACATGAGATTCTTGGAGGTGTTGATACCACGGACGATTTGAGTTTGAATATGTTATTACTTGAATGTACCATTTATGGGTTTTAGACGACTGGGATTATGTTTGGGTACCTGGCCTAGATGGCTGATAAAGTCTTCACGGGTTTGAAGATCGGTTTAGGTAGTTTAATGGGACAAAGCTTTATGGGAGAAATCATGATACCTTGTGACATACACTGAAGTTGCTATGCCTGTCACTCACTGAGTAGTTATACCGTGAATACGTGTCTTTTATGTATCACAAGAGCACAGATATGTCAACAAGAATCACATCACAGAGATAATGATAGTCTCTGTCTCCAAGTCCATGATACAACCTTTATAGTACAGTATTACAAACCCCTGGGGGTAACCAACCTTATCCGTACTCCTGAGGCAATGCAAACCCACGCTTTTTATCCTTTTCCCTTATGCCATCCAATCTATTCCAGATTCCATCCATATAATTAAGTTCCGCCCATCTCAAGATCTGGATCAACCTCTGTTCCTAGATCCCGTTCCTCAACAAACCGACGTCCAACAAGTTCGTCGGGTAGATATGTCTGCTTCACCTGCCCATCACGGTAGTTGGGCGGATACTTGTACTCAGCGCCATATCCCATGTCACGCATGAGTCTTGTAGGAGCATTTCGCAAGTGTAGAGGTACAGGAAGACCGGCCACACCCGGTTCGCGTAGGGCTGCGTAGGCATTGTTGAGAGCACGGTAGGCCTTGGTGCTCTTGGGCGCATTACATAGCGCAACAGTGCAGTGCGCCAGAGGTATCCTAGCTTCTGGCATGCCAATTTGTTGTGTGGCTGTGTATGTTGCCGTAGCAAGTGGTAGGAGGGTGTTATCCGCCAGACCAACATCTTCAGAGGCAATGACAACCATGCGGCGGGCAATGAATAAGGGGTCCTCGCCGGATTGGAGCATGCGCGCAAGGTAGTAGAGTGCCGCATCTGCATCGTTTCCACGGACTGACTTGTGGAAAGCAGAAATAGTGTCATAATGTTGGTCGCCTGCACGATCGTAGACAAGAGTCTTAGTAAGGGCGGCCTTGATGTCTTCTTGTGTGATACCTTCGCGGGTTGTGAGCGAAAGGGCGAGCTCGAGGAGGTTCAAGGCAGTACGAGCATCACCATCCGCAAATCGTGCCAAGTAGGTCACCATAGCTTCGTCCAATAATGGAGTTTGCGGATAAACTGATTCTTCCTCCTTGATTGCCCGCTGTAGAATGCGCACCACATCCTCTGTTGTAAGAGACTGCAACGTAAAGGTACGGCATCGGGAGAGCAGAGCATTTGCCACCTTGAAAGAAGGGTTCTCTGTAGTTGCGCCGATGAGCGTCACAGTGCCAGCCTCAACAGGCTTAAGGAACACGTCTTGCTGGGCCTTGTTGAAGCGATGAATCTCGTCACAAAAGATTATGGTCTTGCGACCAGTGAGGGCAAGATCGTTCATCGCCTCTTGGAAGTATTTCTTGCACTCGCTGACCCCTGTGCTTGTCGCATTGAGTTCGATGAACCGACTACCGACCATACGAGCGATACATCGTGCTATTGTTGTCTTTCCTGTGCCCGAAGCACCCCATAGGATCATCGAGGGTACTTGGTTCGACTCGATAAGAGAGCGCAACACACCGTTTGGCCCAACTAGATCTTGTCCGCATACTTCGTCGAGGTTTCGTGGTCGCATCCGTTCGGCCAAGGGCGCAGCTCGTTGTGTCTTTGTCTTCTTCACCACTCTTCCATCCTGCTCCGTGTTCGGAGACCAAGTGCTCGTTCCGTTGGCATTCTCGCCGTTTTTCGTCTCTTCTGCATCCTTGGAAACTGCTACTCCATGACCTGGGCCCTCTTCGAAAGTCCTCTTCTTCCCTGCTATAGGCTGTAATGCTCCGTTCACAGGAGTCGCTATTCGATTCTCAGACGCAGCTTGTCGTTTTGGCGCAGGCGTAGAGAAGAAGTTGGAAGCGTTTCGTTTTTGAGAATTACTCTGTGGCGTCTGTGATTGCGGCGGTGTCGGGTCCTTCTCTTTGTCTATGATGAAGCTCTCGCATCCTGAGTCGATGTGGCTGTTGATCTCGGAGGATTTGACAGGCTTGTTGCAGATGGGGCAGTCGACCGCCATGGTCGCTGTAGTCGTGCCGATCACCGAATCACAGAGTGCGAGCTTGGCTTGGTTTGTTATGCAACTTGGTAGTGGACGGTAAGTCGTGGTGAGCCGGCATCGGTTGGTTGGTAGATTAGGGTCAGGTCATGTATGGAATGGAATGAAGCTTGGAAGTTGGAGGTGAAAGCTAGGACTCGACCAAGCGAACAAAATAGAGTGGACGGTACCTGAACTAACTAAAACGCGTGCAACAAGTCCGTGTTCAAAATCGTGGGGACCAATCCCCGAACAACGGGCCGCTCTCGGATCCATATAATCGGTATTTGTTAGTCTGTACTACCGCCTACCACTGACAGTTCTACGACATATCACTATCTACGCATTATGAACAGTTTAGAATCAAAAGATGACATTGGCTGATCTTGGCTATGGCGGTAACCATGTCAATAGCCCGGTTGACTAAATTGCTAAAAACCCTCAACATAACTCCTTGATAATGCTTCAACGACCACCAATCCCTTTCATGCTCGTTCCATAACGCCTGTGCCGCCAAGCCGATATATATTTCCATCTCGATGTTGTACCAATGCTCGATTTCTTTAAGCTGATGTCTTGAGTGACCGCACTTTAGGTGATGCTATGCTTGTTTCGGCCTTGCGTTTGCCTAGTACTGGTGTGTTTTCACGGTCTCGTGTTGCTTCTGCATGACATGATGCGTGGTATGCTCGGTCGCCAACTAAAACTGTGTCTAGCCACACCCATTCTTGTGCCGTGTCAAGCCATTTGTTCTCAAACTTATCCTGGCAGATTGGACAAACAGTGTTGATACGGCGAGACGCATCGGGAACAAGAATGTACTTTGGCTTAGCAGCCTCAGATGCCTTTGAAGCCTGAGCGGCAACATCCTCAGTCGTGGGGAGGTGGTCGACGTCGACGGCTTCTCTTGAATTGAGCCAGTCCTGTACTGTTTTTAGAAATTTTGCCTTGTGAGGAGGTAGTGTTGTGACTTACGCGTTGATCAACGTACCAACTCCGGTGCATACCTCGCTTCTCGGCTTCGTTGGTTCGCTGGTGGACACGGAAATGCCAGTCCATATGAGCAATCTTCTGCTTCTTTCCAGCTGGATCGTCTCGAAACCGCCTACCGCACTGGGTGCATGGTTGGCCCAGGTCATGATGTAGTGCCCTGATCAAAGAAGACTGACAGGGCTTTTTGAGAGCGGCCACATTGATACCCCCCTGTACTGGAATTGGCGTTGGTGTTGCTGAAGGACCAGGAGGGAGTAAGCCTGACTTTCGTAGTTGATCAAGAAGACTCCAAGGGGCTGCATTTGCTGCCGGCGCTGGTGCTGATGTCTGGGACATCGTAGGCATTGGAGTCATCCCAGGTATCGTAGGTATCGACATTGCGGGCATAGGGGCCATGGCCGGCATTGCAGACATGTTTGGCATAGGTGGCTTTGGCGGTTCAGGACGAACCTGAGGAGGCTGAGGAGTCGGTGTTGAGCTCGAAGGTGTAGCCGACTTCCTTGCCATCAAGGCGGCCAAGGCTCCTGGGCCAAAGAGCGCATCAAGCGTCACACCTTCTTGCGCCGGAGCCGGAGCTGCAGACGGAGGAAGGGCTACGGACACTGGAGGCATAGGGCGTGCTTGAACGGGCACAGGAGGAGTAGGTGCAGGCCTTTGAGTCAGAGGCGCCATCATGTTTACGGCAGCAAGTTCAGTTACTCGTCTCTTAATGAGGTCAAGCTGATCCGGAGGCAAGCTAGTGCTGTTCACAACGCCCTGCAGCTCATGAAGTGCTCTTAATCTAGTCTGAACATCAACATTTTGGGGATTGCGCAAGGCTTCCGCCTGCGTGGCAACAATTAGATTCCGAATGTCATTGCTCAATGACTGTCCCCCATTTGAAGTGTATTGCTGGGTTGGATGGCCTGGAGGGTATCTCGTCCCAGGCGGTGTCGGAGTATCACGGTGAGGCGCGGCAGATCGCGGTCGCCCAGGCATCATTCCCGCTTGGGGCATGCTTACGGCGCGTGCCTTCAAGAGTGCATTCTCAATAGGACGCACCAACTCGTGCGAAAAGACGGGCCTGCTGTCCATTGACCCAGGAACAGGCTCCTTCCATGTTCTAAGCATCTCCTCCATTTTTCGACGAACTGGTTGATCGACTACTGCATAAGATTCCATAAAGGTCTTGAACAGATTGCGGCCAAAGTAGAGAGTGTATGGTGTGCCGACATTTTTCACGATCGAGTCGAGTACATACAGAGCTGGAAGTTTCTTGTTCGGTGGCGCCTACGCGGAAATTAGCATTGGATCTGATTGAACTGTTCGTGTGTATTCATATTGCACATCAAGAATCTCACTTACCTTGAGGATGTGTTGTTGCAAAACTTCGGCGATAGCTAGGGCATGTTCAGTATTCTCACGAGCAATGACTGTCAGGTTGCTAATCTCGAAGCGCATGTTAGAGGACAGGTCCTCCAGGGCCATGCGGTAATCCTCCGCCACCTCAGCAGAGTCTCCAGACATGATGGCGGTGATGGAGACGAGCGCAACTGGTCGTGTGAGGTAAAGCGATGGTGATGGTGATGATTGGGCTAGGCACAGGTCAAGCTTAGTAGCGATAGGCTACAGAACCCGTTGGCGTCGGGTCTGGAACAACAATTGCGGATGCCTGAGGCTCCACTCAACAATATGTAGATCAGGGCTGGGGTAAGCAGGTAAGGTAGTCGCGATTCAAATGCAAGAAAAAGCAACAAAGAGGCTGGTTACTCCTGAATAGAAAAGGCCAAGGAGAGAAGCCAGGTTATAAAACAGTTCCCCTGAATGCACAGCTACTCTCTGATCTATTTTTGTACCAAAAGTCTTTATTGCTGCGCAAGAATCGTGAGTTCTTTGTATTGACTACTGATAAATAGGATGCATCTGAAATAAGAAAAGGAAAGGAAAACGAACAGCATGCAATGGATGTCAGGTCGCCTTTAAATTTACGGTTTTCTGGCTTTACTCCTCAGGCATTCGTTTGTTCCTTATCGGCTGACAAATAAAGCCGGGCAATAGAGGTTATCGTGTAAGTCCCAAGGGCTCTGAACTTTACCTTGTAATAAAACCTCCAAATTCGTGAACTTAAACTAGTGGAAATTCCTCAAAGGTCTCCTGAAACTTCGATTCTCTACAGTACTCTATCGTCACTTTAGTATAAGGCCTGTTCATATATTGAGATACAGTTGGCTAAGAAGAAACAAGTCTCTGCATCAGTACATGAGCCTTATAAATATTAATTTCAGAAACACAATTGAGTTTGAATATGATTTGTTGAACTGGTTATAAAGAAAGTTTGACAAGATGGTATCCCTGCTGGCAAACAAATAACGAAAGCCATAAATCCAGAACGTGGTATCGCTGACTCCTAATGCCTTAACGCCCTTCGACCTTTTTTCCTTCACGCACGCAACCTTTGCAGTTACAACTTTCTGAGTTGCGCTGCACATGCCCATTGTTCTTCACAGTCTCGTTGACCGTCTTCGCGGTTTGTGCCGATTGCTTCTTGTCCTCCGCTACTTTCCGCGCCTTCTCCTATTTGCGCGCTGACTCTTCCTAGAATCGAGACATGTGCGCCTCCGAGTACATGCTCGGGCTATGCGGGCGAATATTCATCGGGTGCAGGGCTGTATCTGGGCGACGAACTTCGGGGACGATGGGGCTACGACGGTCTTCGCCAGAGTCGTGTGACTGCCGGCTGAGGAAAGAGGGCTCTTGGTGCTCGTAGTGAGGGGGAGGAGGGGCATTGCGCTCAAGGTCACGCTCACGAGTGATAGGCTGACTTATGGTAGGTCGTCGGGGGATGGACTCGTTCTTCCTGTCCCAAAAGAATCTTTTGAAAGTATTCTTAGGTCGATCTTCATTAGTGAATGATGCGCTGTAATTAGACTGGGGTTTGCCGAACGATTCATCGTCCGCGAGGGATCCATTGGACCGAATTTTGCGAGCATTGACGTTAACACCTCGGAAGGCGAAAGTGCAGATGAGGTTCGAAACGCCGAAGACGGAGGTCAAGATGCCAGCGGACACGATAAGTCGCCAGAAGGGAAGACCCAACTCATCAGGACTATAGTCTGACGAGTTGAGCTTGCCGAGGAGGTTCGTCCCAATCAGTATCAGACCGATTCCAAGCCAAAAGAGGCCGTGTTCATCAGAGAACACCGGCCAATGATTGGCGAAATACGCTCTGCAGAAGGGCAACTCGGAAATGACGAGGAATATGGTGGCTGAACTCATCATCGCAAGAGAGAGAGCCTCGAAAAAGAACCAGCCTTGGGAGGTGTCGATCTTTATGATGAGAATCCAACAGGAGGCAGCGGCGGTCAGGAGGCTGATGATCGTGAAAACACGTAAGATCTGGAGCACGATCATGCCTGGGCCCCAGGCTCGCTGACTAAATCCGAGCATGGCGGGTGATGTCGTATTTGGTAGGTAAAAATGAATGAAATGTTGTTGAGTTACGACTGAAGGTCGAGAAAATACGGAGATGAAGTTTTGATAAGGAAGGAAGAAGGCTAGGGGAAGTGGTTAGACGAGGATTTTCTTGTTACAGGTACCTAAGGTAAGGTAGGCAGCTCAAGGACTTACTTTAAAGTGGCAAAGTGTGATATTTGAGTTGTGTAGACACTTTCGAATCAAAGATATAGTCACAACAGTGAAGTGAAGTTTGTTGGGTGTAAGTGAAAGTTATCAGTGAGTTGGTTTATAAGTGAGTCGAAGCTTGCACAAATGAGAAAGTGTATGTGATATTGGAACCAGTCCGAACAGTCAATAGGTGAACAAGAGTACGTCAAAAGAATAGAAGGTTTAATGATAGGAAAATAGGTCAATGAAGGTGATTGAACACCATTGTTGGGCTTTGAATGAACGAAGAACAATAGGAAAATGGGGAGGGGTTTGCCACCTGAACAGCTGGCACAGGCAGACTTTAAGAGCGACTGCATATGCACACATCAGTCACACTCTTTGTTGGAAACGATGCAGCATGCAGAACAAGCTTTTGGTTGGCCCCTGCATTCAGTTTCTCGTCATGGCATGGATGTGAAGCTGGAGAGCCAACCAAAAGGGAGGCGACTCACGATTCGATCGTTTCCCGCATCGAATCGCGTCAACGATTTACTCTGATGCTGGGCTCCACTCGGGCAGTCAATAGCGTCAGAAATGCAGAGAACCATCAGCGCTGCCGTGTCATGGCCGCCGTGCCTGGCCGCGAGCTGCTGCTATTCAGACTCAGTTTCAGCGGTTCCTTGCTCTGTGTGGAGGGCCCCGATGGGGAGCAACAGGTCGCAGCGACTCAGACCAGTCGACCCAGGTCAGCGCCTAAGTCTGGTGCTCGTGCGATTTCATCCGCAAGCGCTGTCGTCTTGAACGTTGGGCGCCATCGCTGGATGGTTTGTTATATTTGAATCTCAAGACCGGGGTTGATATGAAGCACGATTGGCTGTGCTGTGTCGAAACGTTGTTTCAGGCCTTGCACTACGAGCCGGGGCTCTATGGCCAAGAAAATGGTCTCCACTGAAATACCAGTACATGAGACCAGAGGCTTGAGACTTCATGATGGTGGAATAAAAGAGACCTGGAGTCACCAAATGTGCACGAGAATTAATTCATTAAATTTCCCAGATAAACATAAACAGCACTGTTAATGTGAGGTGGGATCATTGCTGTTAAAGGAATACGCTGGTTCGTGTATCCTAGGTAGGTATATAGCAGAAGCTCAAGCAAACAGCCTATGAGGGAGGTCAGCTTTCGGATAAATATTGAAACTAACTCCAGCTCGCGGCTCACATTGGAAAAGTTTCTCTCATCTTTCAGCTCACTCAAGCAAGCCCCCAAAAAACAAGCCGGATCTCGTTTTCGTATGCCAGGGTCGCTTATTACTAGGCCAAAGACCCAGCCAGGCGCTTGTGCTCTGTTAACAGACAGAACCTTAGCCGCGATGCTATTTTTGACCAACCAGGTGTAAGCGCCGGAGTTAGAAATAGCATCTCGTAGGGCTGTTAGTGTCTCCATTCATAATTCTAATGAACGACTGTTATAAACGAGTTGAGGTTATCTCTGAAGCTCTAGTTTACTTTAATTTTAGATTATTTGGTCACTCCTTGTCGTAACGTCAGATCATTCAGACGTAGATTCGCCCCTCAATACGGATAGAAACAGGTGCGGGCCACAATGAACTTTCTGCATCGATGTCTAGGCCCAACTTACAAGCTCAGCCTTTCAGTTACCCTGTATTTACTGCCAGGTCCCACAAACGAGATGAGGAAATGCCAAATAAAGCCAGTTTTGTAAATGGAAGTATATGCAAATCAAATTTTATCTGCAATTGTCTAATGTATAAATAGCTATGAGTAAGTTCCATACCAGAAGGTTGCAGGAAATGTAAACAAACAGCCTCTCAGATTGTGCCCTGGAGTCACTCTGCATGCATCATGAGTAACTTGGCCCTGGAGCCTGCAAATTGTGTGATGAGTATATTAATGTCGATTCTTCGTAACGATGCCAGAAGTGATGGATCGTGAATATGTTATCCGCTATGTAACGCCTGAAATCGAACCTGAAAACGCCGTACCCATGCTGTTCCGTGTATATATGCCCTTAATCATCCTGTGTCAGGTCTATAAATCCAACATCGCTCGTCCGAAAAATCTTAGCCTTCACTCCTCTGCGCTCTAGAGCTGCTGTCTCCCTAGCCATCAGCTCGTCGCGCTCTTCGGCGTCAACCTCCACCTCTTCGTAGAAACCCTTGGCGTTGGCCTTTGGGATGAGTAACTTCTTCTTCCGCGCAGGAGCAGGGCCTGGGGTTGCGTTTCGATCTGCTGGTAAGGATGATTGTTGCCGCTTGTTAGGGGATGCAGAGGACCGCGAGATGAGGGAGGAGAGGGGAGCGAGGTCGGTTGACGAGTCACTATCAAAGTCATCATCGAAGCTCGTTTGAGATCTTGGCTGGTGCTGTTTGGAAGCTAGGAGTGAATTTTTTGAAACAGAAGTCTGTGAGGAACTCGTGTTCTTGAACTTGTTCGTGAACATGTCCATGGACATCTGTTTCATCTTGGGAGGTTGAGATGACTGAGAAGAAGTCGGTGATTTTGCACGTCTCGCGTTCAACGCCAAGTCTTTCAGCCTTTGCGGAGAACCACTTGACGTAGGAATCGCACACATCGGGTCAGGTAAGTTGCGAGAGGCAGGCACACGAGTCCTCGGCCGTGGTGAAGGCGAAGGGGGAGGCGAGTCTGCTGCACAGGGCGGGCTAGATGTGATGATAATCGCTTGCTGTTCATTTGCAGGCTTTCGTGTCCTAGGAGTCACCTGTGAGCTGGCAAGTGTCCAGGGGGTTGTTGTCTGCCTGACGGTGCTACCCGAGGTCGACGCGGATTGCTTACTTGGCTCCAGAGGTGACGGAATTCGCAAGCGGCGAGATGTCGTCGGTCGGCTCGGCGAGGTGATTATTTCAGTCTCTTTAGACAACGCCTTGGAAGTCACTGTAGAGGCAGTATGAGGTTTGCTTGCTCGCACAAACTTGTTAAGCGCGCCAGCCGGCATCCCCGTCTTCGGACCAGGCTTAGACCTTGTTACCTTGGTTTTGGGTTCCTTTGCTTGCTGTTTCTTCTTCTCTGCAGCCTTTTGCACCACTTGAGCGTCTGCAAACACCTCTGGTATCCTCGACTTCGCCAATATTTCCAATGCCCAAACACCTTGCCTTCCTGAAGGGTTAAAAGGGGCCGGCTGTCGTTTCGCCGTGGATTCCTCAATGTTCTCCGCATCGTCGATCTCGTCATCGCTGTTCAGTGCCAGTCCACCTCGAGCTTGCACAATCTTTTCATCTTCCTCTTTGGACAAATCTATGGGCACAATTTCGCTCGGAATGTGCTGTATGCGAACTTGTGACACCAAGTCATTCTTGAGATCGGACCTAAATCCTGCGATACCTTTGACATAGTCTGCGTTGTCCTGTCCTTCTAGAGCCTGCAACTTCTGGACAAGCACTGCATGGGAAAGCACCTTGATGAACTTGAGAGCGCCAACTCGGTAATCCCAGCCAAAGACCTCTCTCGTAAACTCTCTTAGGTCTTCGAACTGGATCTCTCTTTTCAGATGCACCTTCTCTCGAATCTCGTCTATGCTTTCCCTGGGAGACACAACAGGATGTGTATAGTAACGTAGAACCTTGAAGTCTGGGAAGGTTTCCGGTATCGCCAAAGCCTTGTTCTTCCTCTTGAAATGACCACTCTCATTGGTGCGAAGCTCATGTATCAAAGAACTCCTCCAGGCCGCTGTTGCTTCTTTGTCCACTGCCTTCAACCGGCAGAGATCTCTGCCAAAGCCAGCTTTGGCAGCCTCAACAGCCACTTTGATTCCACAGCCGGGGAGCCCGTTAGGATCGTAGTCGCCGCCGCTCATCAAAGCAACAAGAACCATGCCTTCGCGATCCAGGCCATGTTGATCAAGTTTCATTTTCTCCGTATCGAACAGAGAGACGTGCGTCGGTGTTGTGTCGCGTTTTGATGCCGGTGACCACTGACGCAACATTTTGGTACATCCAAACATCAGAGCGTCAACATCTTCTGTTAGAACCATGTCTACAATGCCATGCTTCTGCAGCAGAGCGCACTCCGCCTCAGCTTCTCCTGGCGCATCGTGGGTGTTGCAGCCGAATAGTCGAATTAGCCGTTTCGCTTGTGCATTGGCAAAGGAGTCGCCTCGACCGGATTTCTTGTTTCGCTTGACCGCAGGCTTGTATGGGCCATCGAATACAAAGATAGGCTCAACTGGACAAGCCAGTAAACGAACGAGTCGGTAGAATAAAGTTCGAATTTCTGGATTCGTGCCGCCTGACCGTTGTTAGAGAAGCGCTTCAGTACCTCAGTGGCTGTGATATACCTTGCGCCGCCTGATTTTGAAATTGCCAAATCGCAATATCAACCGCAATTCGTAATGGCCGTCCCTGGTTCTCTAGTGACTCGGCGGCGAGTTTCAGTAAGGCCACTCGTTCGCCTTCGCCCACCTCCTGGTAGATCCTGAAGATATTAGCCTGGCTTTTTGCAATATATAACACCCGATTCTTACCCTTTGATACCCATTTGAACATCAGAAAGACCTCGAAGCAATCCGCTCCAAACTCTCCTGATTCGATAGTCGATGATGTAGGTTGGAATTCACGTTGCCCCACATCGCTGCGGTTACCAGAGACCACTGTTTTCTTGGCCGGTGGAGGCGGCAGATCGGCGCTAGAAACGCCGACTTCAAATAACCATTCAACCAACCAGCGTTAAGTTAAGTTACATTGCTACGCCCTGACCAGGGCATCTCATCGCCAACATCGAACAAAGGGAAGAAGCAGGAAACACAGAAGAATTTATCTCACTCGCGATGGCCTCTGGCGCTGGATCTACGCTTGCTCATAGAAGCGTGGCTAGTATCCGTGGAGGTCCTCCTCAGGGGCCAAGTCCATCGACTCCACATACCCCGAATCGCTCGTCTGTTGTTTCATCCTACGGCTCACCATCGACTATCCGTGCTGATGACGAGTTCATCGTTGTTGAGCTAGGCTCACGCTATATCAGAGTGGGATTTGCGGGCGACACATCTCCAAGAGTGGTTCTTCAATGCAGCCCCGAAGATCAAAGGCGGGCTGGAGACTTCAGAGGATGGCAGCAGCCGAAACGGTCACCTGGCTTACAATGGTCAAAGGAACATGAGTTTTGGCGATATGATCTAAGAGATATAGAGCTTGGCCTATATCAGGATAAGCTGGAGCGTGTATTACATGGTGCTTTCTCAAAGTTTGTCCTTCTTCAATCTCTCAAGGGATAGTTGCTTACATGCATACAGATACTTGCTCATCGATTCCAGACCACGAAGACTTGGGCTGGTCTTGGACCCTGGAGTACCTCTACCACTATTGACAGCCACCTTGGATACACTGTTTAGCAGGTTTCAGTCACCAACTATCTCTCTCATGTCAACACCCTCTATGTCGGCCATCTCAGCAGGTGTCAGATCCGCCTTGGTGATAGATATGGGCTGGGCAGAAACTGTCATCACCAGTGTCTATGAATACCGAGAAGTCAAGACAACACGTACAGTCCGAGGTGGGAGAGCACTTTTAGACACGCTTTACAAAACCATCGAGTCATTAATACCAGGAGAACATGATGTCACCAAACAAAGAGCGCTAGGGTTTCAGGAATGCGAAGACATCATGTGTCGTTTGATGTGGTGCAAGCCATCAGAATTTCGATCATCTCAGCGGCAGTCTACTCAGCTGGAAACAGTTGATGAACAAGAAGAGATCGAGGCCGAGTCGGCGCAAACTGGCGTTCCAACAGGAGTCGCCCAAATACCCATCAACACAAGTCGTCGTCCATTGACAGTGGAGCTTCCCTTCGAGAAACTCGCAGAGGTCTGCGACGATACCTTCTTCGACCCGTCAGCAGACCGAGCGACTTTTGACGACGATGAATTACCGCTGCACCTGCTATTGTATAGACATCTTTTACAACTACCACTGGATGTACGAGCAGTCTGCATGTCACGAATAATGGTCACAGGAGGATGTTCCAATATCTTGGGCATCAAACAACGAATTATCGACGATCTCACAGCTATCGTCAACAAGAGGGGATGGGAGCCAGTGTTCGGAAAGGTTGTGGACAAGCATCGCAATAGTGCTAGGATCCATCAGCAGTCCAGCACCACTTCTCCTACAGAAGGCTCGCCATCCTCGTCACCAGGTGAAGACGGACAACGTAAATCTCCCAAGAACGCTGCCGACTCGAAGCCAGAGCACGACCCGATAGAAGCCAAGGTTGTACGACAGCGGGCCACGGTTCCACAATTCAAGGGCCAGATCCGAGTGATCCATACTCTTGGTCCGTGGATTGGAGGTAGCCTACTCTGTCAATTGAAAATTCCTGCCATGGCGATTGTTGATCGCGAGTCGTGGCTCCTACAAGGCGCCAATGGAGCTTCTCGGCCTACTGAAGTAGACTTCAAGGCACAACACAGACAGAGCGTGCAAGCAGGAGGATATGCTCGGGGAGGCGGAGGACACCACGGAAACTGGACTCTCGGTGTATGGGGTTACCTGTAGGAGGTTCAACGTTGGGAGATAGATATCATGACATGAAACGAGGAATATGCTGGTGGTGTGGATCGAGAACTAGATGAGGATGGCTAAGGTAGTAAGTAGGCAAACAAATACCCGATTTACGATGAGATCAACAATATTGGCCCAATTGCAAGGTGTCTCTATTTGCCAAGACTGAATGATTGAATGAATACTTGAAAGTTGATGTCCCATTCCGTGATGGTCCGTAGGTAGTCTATTCGCTCGGGTAATTGCATTAAGCAAGCTCTCCACTGTTAAGCTTCGGCAGCCGACGTCAAGCTCCAAACTGGCTGATCAGGCAGTCTAGCTTAGTACCTCAGTCATGCTTCATATGAGCTGCTCACCAATTCAACATCCACCATGAACAGGACATTATCGCGCATACGGTGTCGCGCTTTACATCCGAGGCTCAATCCACTATTGGCTCGTAGTTTCGCAGATGCGAAGCGGCCTCCTTCAGCGCCAAAACCCATCGTCGATATCAAGCACATCAGACAACACGCAGAACTTTATCAGCAGACTTGCGTGGAGCGCAACTATCGCAATCAGGCGCAAAACCCAGCTAAAATCTTAGAACTTCATGCAAGATGGCAGGATCTTCAGCGACAGGGCCGCGCTTTGCGGGAGAGGTCGAATTTGTTGAGGAGACAGCTTGCGAACCCAGCGACGAGCAGCGATGATGAGGATCTCAAGGAAGTGCGCCAATTGACCCGTGAGCAGATCCAGGAGGAGGCGCGACAGCTCAAACAGGATCTTTCGGCCATTGAAAAGGGAGAATCGCAGGCTGTTACGCAAATGGAGGAGTTGGCGCTCGAGTTACCCAATCTCACTCATCCCGATACTCCAAAGGGAAGCGATTTTGAGGTCATGAGCTATATCAACGACCCACCCACTTTTAAGGAATCACCTGAGGATAAAATCTGGCGATCTCATGTTCACATCGGTTCCGAGCTTGGTATCTTTGACTTTGCTGGCGCTGCTACTGCTTCCGGTTGGGGTTGGTATTATCTTCTTGGTGAGGCTGCTCAACTGGAGCAAGCCCTGGTTCAATATGCCCTCGCTGTTGCAACCCGTCATGGCTGGACACAAGTGTCACCCCCCAGCATGGTCTACAGCCACATTGGAGCTGCCTGTGGATTTCAGCCTCGCGACCTGAACGGCGAACAACAAGTCTACACTATCGCCCAGTCAGCCGAAGATGCTGAGCGGGGTGTTCCCGAGATGTGCCTCACTGGAACATCTGAGATCGCCCTTGCCGGGATGAAGGCCAACACTACCCTTGATTCCGAAGACCTACCTCTCAAGCGAGTTGCCGTCTCTCGCTGCTATCGCGCCGAAGCTGGAGCCCGTGGTGCCGACACCAAGGGCCTATATCGAGTGCACGAGTTCACCAAGGTGGAAATGTTCGCATGGACAGCACCGGATGAGGATATCGCCCAGGAACTCTTTGACGAGATGCTCGACTTACAGACCGAGATTTTGTCTTCGCTTGGACTTTACTGCCGTATTCTCTCTATGCCTTCCCACGATCTCGGCGCATCAGCCACCCGCAAGGTCGACATGGAGGCTTTCTTCCCCAGCCGTCGCGACAATTGGGGTGAAGTCACATCAGCAAGCATGTGCACCGACTACCAAACCCGCCGCCTAGGCACACGAGCACGCATTGATGGCAAGCTCGCCTTCCCCTGGACTTCTAATGGTACTGCCCTGGCTGTTCCCCGTGTGATAGCAGCTATTCTGGAGAATGGGTGGGATGAAGAAGCCAAGACTGTCACAATTCCCGAGTGCTTGCGGCCATGGATGGATGGCAAAGAAAAGATTGGTCTTGGGGGACGTCGTTCGAGCGTGGATCGCGTGTAAGTTTGAAATGAGCGATGAAGCATGGCTATGACTGCGTGCGTGTACGAATGGAGAATATGACGGAGGCATAATTGCTCTGAAACCTTGATATCTTATTTAATATGGAACGCAAGGCGTGATATTTCTATTGAATATAAAGCCGTGTTCTTTATAACCTGTACAGTCTATCCTGAGAAGTCTGAAGACAAATATCTTATCACCACACCAAGTTCTTTACCTTCCTCTCCCAACCAGGCATCCTAAATTCCATCCCTGGACTTCCCCTCCATCGATACCATCCTGACATCTTCTTCATCGCCCCAACCCAACCAAGTTCCCCTCTCCTCCAAGCTTTGCCTCTCGTCCCATCCCCTCTATGCTGCACAACATACACGCCTCCATCTGATGCTGTCGTCAACTTTGCTTCTCCACGCTCTGGATCACCACTGCTATGGTATTCTCGTCGGCGCGGTGTCCTGTTCGCTTGGAACCGTTTGTTGTGATCCAAGTCTAGAATCTCAGTTGCAGCAACCTCCATCCATACGTCCAATGTCCGCAGGTGATCTGCATAAATGATGAAGATGGCGAGGAGGGAGGAAAGCCCTGATGCAAGCCAGAAAACCCAAAATGAATTACCCTCTGGGCCATATGAACTCTCGATCGACAAAATCCCTGATACAACTGTCAGGGGTAGCAACAGACCTCCTAGATATGCTATTCGATCTAGACTTCTGGAGTTGGAATTTTTGGGGTCGCTTTGAGCTTCTTGAGCATGCGCCTGGAGAGCAACTGTAACAGAGAGCTGTATCCGTCTATGCAGACGTTCTGCAAGATTTGACCAGTCTGCTGATGTAATGTTACTGAACTCTCCTCGTCGCTCCATGCTTCTTGTGACATCTGCATTGGTTTCAAGGGCTTGCGCGATAGTCCACTGAACATCCACAGAATCGGATCCAAGAGGTGGTAACGAGTCGAGTTTCTGGAGCCACATGTCGTAGATTAGCTCTGCGACTAGATCCTCTACAGGGCGAATATCGACGAGGGCTTGCCAGAGGGAATCTTCCAGGCCGGATCGCTTTGGAGGTCGTTTACCTGATGTTTTACCGTCTGGACGAGTATTACTTGGTACTCTTGAAGGTCGGTAGGGCCGTGAGGATATTCGAAACGGAAGACCATCGAGGAGAAGAATAGGGAGTTGTTCCTTGACCATGAGCGATGCACGACATATTCTGATTCCCTCATCCTCATCAGACTCTTCATCGTCATCTTTGGTCTCACTATCCTCCTCATCCGGTTTCCGTTTTCTTATCTCCGTCTCAGGGAACTCCCAAACCCATCCACCCCTTTTCCTACCCAACTCCATGCCTAACAGAACACCCATATCGCATTCGCCTCTTACAATAGCCAACTTCCGCCAACCGGGCCTTTCCACAGCCACCATCTCTTCTTGAAACTCTTCAACATTGAGTAATTCTTTCTGTCGACAGTTTTGTGTACTCCATTCGAGAAGATACGGCCGGGAAAACTGTGGTCTTCCAGCAACAGGAATGGCCCGATCCGATGAGCGCCGGGTGCGGTGCCGGGGCTCGGAAGCCGGGCGCAGTCGTGACATCGGGGTTCTTATTCTCTGTTCTTCTGGGCGACTCAAACCGCTAGATTCGATATCCAAATGAGACTCGAGCTAGCCGAAACTGTTGTTAAAAGTATTTCTGAGACCGTGCCAACTCGAATTTGGGGGAGTTTCACTCTTTTGAGTCTCTGAGCACTATCTTTTACCCGACCCCATGAACACAACTACCGTCATGCGAGAAGTTCTCAAGGCATTTTGTCTCCATAATTTGGTAGGTAGAAAATTGTTTCATTTCAGACTTTAGGGGTCCTCAAGGGTCTCAGTTAGGCAGATGTTCTTCTGCGCCTCCATCAGCAAGTGTCTAAGTGTGGTCATGTGCCGAGTCCTTGAGCCCAGATGACCCCGACCTTGAAAGAACCTCAACACGCGACGTATTCACCTGTGAAAGAAATATTACATAAACACCTGTCAAGTCAGATAGATGAACCTTGTTTGTCTATGGTTGACTCATGACACAGCCCGGCTTGTAGTCGGTATATTGGCGCGTTGCCTCAGCCCTTATTACTCAAGACACGGTAAATAAATCATCCCTGTGGTTCTATAAGCTAGCCTTCGTTCGTGCATGGCTCGTCATCTTTGTTGAATGGTAACTTTACATAATATGACTTCTTTCCCGCTCTTCCCGAAACGCCAGGCCAGACGCCATTTTAACAGCGGCAAAATCATAGGACGTTGAGACTTCATCTCTCTTGTCTCTTTCGTTTCTCTACCCTCCGCTTCTGTTTTCTGTCCCCTTTCGTTGTCTGCTTCTCTTGTCTCTTCTGCCTTTTGTGGGTTCTCTCTCCCTCTCCCTCTTACAATCAATCTTCCAAAGGAGTGTCGAGTGCAAAGTATGTGTCAAATGACGCTGAATAAAAGAATAGACGCCCCAGTGCAAGAATCTCAGATCATAACCCCATGCATATACGTGCGGCAACATGTCCAATCCATGATCGAGGTCAACTATCAATAACAATATTTCGAACTCCTGAACCTCAAATGTTGCACCCGGAAACTCAAAACTCAAACTCAACGGTGATGATCGTCGTCGCCATCGTGATGCAGAGTGACACTGTTGAACTCAAGGAAGGGGTCGGCAATCTCACCACCAGGAGTTGCCAGTCCACTGTCTAGCGGAACTCCCTTTAAGTTCATCGCCCTCGATCCTGACAAGTCGACACTCTCGCTTTCCTTGACGTTTCGGAAGTTGACTGTATCAACTCCTCGGCCCGCGTGAGGAACAATCGGTGGCTTTTGGTGTCGAATGAGTGCCCATTGTGTCGTTCTGAAGAATGGATGCGCCTTGATATCTGATGCGCCAGCTCGGGCGCCCAGTCGTCGATTCTCATCCTTGATAAGTAGTTTCCTTATCAAAGACTTGCAGAGGCTGTGGCTTGGTTAGAATAGTAGGATAGTGAGTTTTCGCCCAGGACTTACTTGGAGATTTGTGGTGCACCACTGTGATCGGGGAATGGAATATCCTCTCTAAGGATATTTGCGAAAGTTGCATTTCGGTTCTTTCCCTTGAAGGGCGTTGTGCCGTAAAGCATTTCGTAAATAAGGATACCCAATGTCCACCAATCGACCGCACTTGTGTGACCGCTGCCCTTAATCACTTCTGGCGCAATGTACTCTTCTGTTCCAACAAAGGAGTTTGTACGGAAGTTGGCGATACATGAACGAGTGTCGATAGTTGGGAGAGCGTCAGTACGGGCTCCATTCTTGCCGACGATCATGGTCGGCTTGCCACCGGGGTCTGACTGCTTGGACAGGTCGAAGTCTGAAAGCATGATATGGCCCGATTGGTGCAGGAGAATGTCTATCACAAAGGGTCAGCGGTAGATTTGTAAGCGCGGCTTCTCAACATACTCTCAGGCTTCAGGTCTCGGTAAATGAAACCCATAAGATGCAAGTATTCCAGTGCTGCTGTCACCTCAGCGGCGTAAAATCGAGCATCCTCTTCAGGAATGCATTTTCCAGGTCGTGTTTGCAGAGCGCGGAAGAACTCGCCACCACTACAGTACTCCATACACAGGTATAGGTAGTCTTCTGACTGGAAAGAGTGGTATAATGTGACAATGAACGGATGGTTACTTGTCGCAAGAATTTCCTGCTCTGCCAAAGCTCGCTTAATCTTGTTGCGCTTGATCATTTCCTTCTTGCTTAGTACTGTCGCTAGTTAGTCGTTGTTGCGATGGTAAACATGAGTGATGGGCATACTTTTCATGGCATAAAGCCTGCTGCTCTTCTTCTCCCTCACAAGATACACCTTTCCAACATCTCCCTTTCCAATGAGCTTGATCTTGTCAAAGCTAGAGGGGCTAACTTCGACGTTTCGAACCTTGATAGAATTGGAACTATAGGTGCGGCGGAAAGCCATGCTCAGATTAGGGGCAGGAAGAGCAGCAAGGAGATCGTCAGAATTGGCGTGTTTGGCCTTATCCTCGGCCTCCAGAGCCTTGGCCGTTTCTATAAGACCCAATGCGCCTGAGCTTGTGAGGAGAGGATCCTTGCCGAGCTCGGCAGTTGCGGGACGCTCATTGTTGGGATCGTTTTTGGAGAACAGGCCCTGGGCATTGGGTGCACTGGCGACTCTTCTAAGTCTCCGGGCGAGTTCCTCCTTGGTTTCGCTGGTGGTTTGATCGTTCGCCGGGGCACCATCGGGGCCTTGGACCTTGAGACTCGGTGTGTCGGGAGGGCTTGGGGGAACGGAGTCGGAATTGTGGTGACGCAATCCTGGTTGGCCTTGATGAGCAAAATAAGGATTCGCATGTGCCGTAGGACTCATGGCTTCCTCCAGCTGGTTGCCCTCACTAGCAACGGTGTGTGCGCGCAGACGGCCGACGGTATTACTAAAGAACTTGGTATGACGGGATTTCGAGGGATCGGGAGTGGTGGCGGCCGAGCCCTTTTCCTTCTCCTTCTCCTTGTCCTTATCGCTAGAAGCACTGCCGGTGCTACCTCCAGTGTTCATGCGGAAGAAATTGCGCAGGCGATGGCTCACCTGGCCGGGGCCATTGGAGGTCTTTTGAGACGGCATAGCGACGGTAACGTTATCGGAAACGTTTGGATGGTTGGAGACGGAAACAGCTTTGGCGGGAGTTCGACTAGAGATTTGCTTCCATATTCGACAAGATAAATAATTGGGAGGCCAGAAAGCGGTTGCGGGTTGATGTTGATTGAGACGGGTAAAAGATCCACGAAGGTGTGTTGTTGTTGCGCGTTGTTGAAGTCGCGGCCTGGTATCGGTCCGTAGCGAGATAGGTATAAGTGCCGGGACGGAAGAGCAGACGAAGCTAAGGTATCCGTACCCTGTTGAGAGAAAGAAGTCACAGGGGGAGCTTGGAGCAACAGCACTGTTCGGCTGTAAAAGAAGAAAAGGGAGGAAGAAGACACAAGAGCCTCAAGAGGA